AACTGTCCTAAGTCGATACTGTCACAATATACGATCGCTGCCTAGGGCTCTGAAGGCTCTGAACAAAAGCTTCTGTGCACAGCCTGACATTTTTCTCCTCTGCAGCAATGGCTGTCTTAATTGTTCGATTAATGAACTCATTAAATCCCAGTATTACTAGAAAAAGCATATTGACCTCCTGACCAATCACAATTAAAACATAAATGCCACTTATTCAAGACACTGGTTAGCCATCTATTTAAGCAGCAGAAGAGCATAAAAACAAGCTTTGTGTTTTGAGGATTTGACCCGCTTCACCCACAAGATGTGGATGGAGAGAATGTCACAACAATTGCAGGTGGAGGCCAACTTGCAGCATTACCTACAATTACAGCAGCATTTGCCTGGTTATTAAGATTATAACCAGTCTGGAAACACAATCCTCCATTGAATCAACAGCAAGAGACTCCGTCTGACTTCACTGGAGTTAAGATTTCACCCTGCATCATCCCTAAGCACAACAGTGAGGAAGTGTAATTAAATTCTGCGCGTGTACCAAGCACAGCTCAAAGTTACACATCCCTGAATGGTGTTGTGGAGAAAAACGCAGGGAGTTTTGTTCCCAGGCTGCAATGCCCCTAGCTGCGCTCTCTTCCTGGGGGTATTGATAGGTGACAGGTGGGTCTTTTCTGGTTCCCTTACTGCTGCGTCGTATCCCTGCAAGGTAAGATGTCGACACACAGTCTCACTTCTGTAAAAAGGCCGCCCTTGCTTTGTTGGAAAGTACATTATTGTAGGATGATAGCATACTTCAGCTATTGTTGTGTTGCTCGATACACAGCTATAAAGCTATTTCAGTGTCCCAGCTCATAATTTTTGAGTGGGTGGTGTCATCACGGCAGACCCTCTGTTTGGCAACTTAAACAAACACCTTTGGCATGTGTCACTGATGCTTTTATGTGCAGGAGGAATTGTAGCTCCCCGGATTAGATGAGCTGAGTTAGGAGAACAGAGTTGTCTCCTGTAAGTCAAAATGCAAGTTGATGTATCTGAAGGCATTTTAGCTAGCTGTATTCACCCTGTTTTCTGCAGGAGGCTAAAATACCCACGTTTTGGGCTTTCAGCAAAGGTTGTAGGAAACTGTAGCATCTTTGAGCTGCCAGGTCAAACCGTGTCAAGATCTGAATCAGATTTAGTGTTCAAGG